GAGGCTCCAATCCCTGATGGCAATCCATGGCAGCTGCAGTATGACAAGCAAACTTCCGATCCTGCGGAATCTCGAAGCGTTAGCCTGACCGAAGCCTACACCTGATTGGCCATAGACATTACACAAGACAGTTGCATAGTCCCCCATATGAGTTGGCAGTGCAGAAATCAGTCGAACATACTTCGTTGATCCGCTATCAGCCCCTTGTCCGCTGTGGCAGCGTCCAGGGCTTGTGCGGGTCGGTGGCTCTTGGCGAGCAGCCACTATCTTCCTTCGTTGGCCCGCTCCTCCTGAGAAGAGCAAATCCACCTTGACTTGGGTCTGGCTACGTTGGCGAACAGCTTGAGCGCTCTCCCACGGGCCTTGCTGACCCACTTGGGCACGTCTTCGGCGCGCGCGCGTGCGACTCCACCGCCGCCAGGTAATCATGCGACTTGGACCGGGCACGCAAATACTCACAAGCTTTGACACCCTTGCAAGTCACGTTTCCAAGCAAGAAGACTTGCGTCGTGGCCGTCACAATCGCTGAACCCCCTGGCGGTTGTGGCTGATGATACTGGAGGTGCCGAACATGCACAGGTAGAGGAGGCGACCTCTGCCGCCTGATGGTCCCGACTTGCGGACCCTAGTCACTGGGCGGCGGGGTCGTCACCATCGCCAGCTGGCGTCGGCACGTGCTCGCCGCTCCCGCCGCCGCCTGCCGCGCTCGCAGTCGCAATGGCGCCACCCGAAGGGCCTCCACCACTCGCGACGCCACTCTGAGGGCCATCGCTAGGCGAGCTGCCCCCCGCAGGGCCGCCAGCTGCCAGGGCCTGGGCAGCGGCGAAGCGAACGGCCGACAGCCTGGCCGCCTCCCTCTTCAAAGCCTCGTCGTCGACGTCGGAGCTGCCGCCCTTCGCCTCGTTCCCCTTGGCTTGATCAGGCGTCTGGGACTCCACCGCGATAGGGACAGTGGTCTCCTGCTTCAACTCATTCTCACAGCGCCTCTTCTTCGTCATGCGCTCGGTGACCCCCTTCTCGACCTGTGCCACGCGAGTGAGGAAGGCCTTCAGCTCGCTCTGCGTGGACTCGAACTCCGACTTGTAGCCCTCGAGCCGCGCCTTCAAGGTGCGCAGCTGCTGCTTGTCGGTCTCGTCACACTCCCACTGCTCGAACTTGTCGAACACCTTGCGGTTGATCCTGACCCTTGAAGGCAGGGTCGCACTTGCCCGCCTCGAGGTCCTCCTCAGCCTCCCCGTTGGAGGCGGCAGGCAGCCCTTCAGCACGAGCGAGCGCTTAAGTAGCCTTCTTCTTGGCCGCCTCCGTATGCTCGAGCTCGAGCGAGGCTGCTTGCTCCTTTCAACGTGCGTTCTGCAGCTGCGTCCTGAGTCGCAGCACCTGCGTGATCAACTGCTCGTGGCGGTGCGCCGCCGAGCGCCAGGCTCCGTCCGCCTGGCGAACGAGCTCGGCCTCAGACTTGACGGCCTCCTGCGTGGCGAGCTCTGCCAGCCTCTGGCCCTGCAACTTCAGCGCCTGCTTCATTTCATCGTTGTCGGCGGCCTGGACGGCCTGGTCCAAGAGCTCGGTAAGCTGCTGCTGCCTGACCCTCTCCTTGGACGCTGCCCTCCGTGTACCTCGGGAACGGCCAACCTCGTTTTTGGAGTTGGTCCCCGTCCCCGTGTCCACGTCGATGACAACAGCCTGATCGTTGAACGACACTTTTTGGTCAATGCTAGCAGGTGATGCCGAACGCGGGCGGAACAGGCGAACCTTCTTCCAACAGTGGCCGCACTTGCAGCTGTTCTTCGTAAGCTTGTCGTTGGATTCAGGCCACTTGCAATGCGCCCAATGACTCTGGCAGCTCCTGCTTTCGTCGTCGCCCAGCCTATGGGCAGAAGGCGTGAGAGAAGTCGCTCTAGTACCACTCTAAGGTATAGGGGCAGGTTCGCGCAAAATGCCAGAAGCGAAATGGCTTGAGAGGAGGAGGAGGAGGAGGAGGAGGAGGAGGAGGCGCACGCCAGCCACCAGTGACAGCCGCAGCTCTCATCCCGTACCGTGGCGTCGAGTCCGCCAGTCGGTCGTCCTGTTGTTTCTTTTCACCTCGTGTGTTGTTTCCCGCCCCATCTCCCCTGCGCTTCCTGGTGGGAGGGGTTCGAGGGCCACAGCTCTTCGGAGAATTAAAGGTTCACAGCTCGAAGCTCGAAGGTCGAAGGAGGCTCGAAGGAAGAGGCGTGAGAGAGATGGGGGAGCACCAGGCAGGCGTAGGATACATAGAAATCGCCCCATGCCATATTCAAGAGCCACCACGAGGACGCGATGTTTTTCGTGGCCCGCGACTCACGATTCCCCTCGTCCTCTTCGTCCTCGTCTTCTCCTCCCGGAGCGCGGCGCCAGAGCGCGACATGATTCGCGCTTCGCGCAGCGCGAAGGGCGACCATAGCGGCCCTTGCGAATGAGTTGCGCACAAGAGATACCCAAGGCACAAGTGACCGTTGAAGCGCGCTTTGCCGTTCGCTGCGTGCGGTGCAACAGTAGCGGTGTGCGCGCTTGGGTGTGCCCCCCTTTGCGCCCCACGACAGCCGCGCGCGAAAGTCACCCAGGCGAAGGGTCATTCGGCTCTGTGGGCGGCCGCTCGTGACGGTTCGGACACCCCCTGCACGATCTCGGTGAGGCGCAACTCTTGGAAGGCATCCCGAGGCAGGGTACCCTCCAGGAGCTTCGAACATTGTACGAGCACGACATAAGAGGCCGACCAGAGCGCGCTGGAGCGCTACACATCTCGGATGTTGTCAAATGAGCCCTTCGTTCAACCAGAGACACTTTGGCTCAAGCCTTTCCGATCGCACAAATCGCATCAAGCTATTTGCAGTACCGCACACATACGTAATAAGGTAAACCCATGGCGTTCAAGGCTATGGAAGTCGCCTACGGCGAATTGCCACCGCCACCTGCGCCTTGGAAGAGTCTACGTGGCCGAACGTTGCTCACAGAGCTCGGCCAAGCTATCGGACGATATGTTCCCCCCAGCCGTTGTGGAAATACGTCGGGGAGCACGCAGGGGAGAATGACGAAGAGGAGGGTGGAATGACAAATGAGGAGGAGGAGGAGGAGGAGGAGGAGGAAACCTCTTGGAAGCCTCTTGGGGCACCCTTGGGGCCTCTGGGAGCTTCCTGGGGGCCTCTTGGGGGCCTCTTGGGGGCTTCCTAGGGACTCGTGGGGGCCTTTGAAGCTTCTTGGGAGATTACTTGGCCGACTGAGGGCGTCTCTGGCCCGCCTGACGCCGCTGGAAGCCGTCTGGGAGGCCTCTCTGGGCCGACTTGGGGCCCTCTTGGGGCGCTTCAGGACCGTCCTGGAGATCGTCCTGGGCGGCTTGGAGGTCTTGGGGCTGTCTTGGGGGCCCCTTGGGCCGTGGGGGGAACCACCTCGGGGGCCTCTTGGGCGCTCTTGGGGCCATCTTGGTGGCTTATTGCGCCCTCGTGTGCCGTCGGGAGGTCGAAAATTAGCAAACGCCCAAATCGTTCGAAACCATACTGAATATTATTGGATTTGGCATCGTCAGGCCTTACCGAGGGGGCCTGTTAGGCCGTCTAGGAGGCCTTTGGGGCAGTTTTGGACGATCTTGAGGCTATCTTGGGGACACCTCGGCCCGTCTTGGAGGCATCTTGGACCATCTTGGGCTCTCTTGGAGCCGTCGTAGTCGTCTTGGAGACCATCTTGGCCGTCTTGGAGGCCACCTTGGGGCCGTTTGGCGTGGGAAGACAGACGATCTGGAAAGTTGATGGGCATCTACGGAGTGGAAAGCCGACGGACACCTTCGCTTCCGCAGGGCCAGCGCGATCGGCCGAACGCCTGATGCGAACCCTCTCAAGGACCACCTTCAAAGTCCAGCACGCCATGCGGCCTGGGTGCAAGCCAACAGGGGGGGGGGCGCGGCGGATCTAGTGGTCTTCGGCCCATGCCACCACCACGCCTGGGTGGTAGGTCGGAGGCCTCTCGGATACCTGTTGGGATCTCTCGGGAGGTCTCTCGGAAGCCTCTTGGGAGCAGTGTTTGCGATGTCTTGGGGCATTTGTGGGGCACCTGGAGGCCTCTCGGGGGCCTCCAGGGGTTCCCTGGGGGCCTCTCGGGGGGACTGCTGGCGGTCTCGGGATTCCTCTTGGGGCGGAGAGCTCGAAATGTCAGTTCGTGCTCCCCTCTTTGGGCCTTCTTTTGCCGCCTTGGGTTGCCTCTTGGGCCGTCTTCTGGATATTTCGGGCCCTCTTGGGGGCCGTCTTAGGACAATATTTGGATCATCTTGGCCGTCTTCGAGCGCCGGGAGCCCTAAAGCCCGATAACGCTAAATCCGGCGAACCCGCACGGAGTCTCAATGATTTTAGACTCTTGGATCGTTCTTGGGTCCCTCTTGGGCGGCCTCTTGGAGTTTTTTCGGTGCGGCATAAGGGGTGTTCTTGGCCGTTTGGCGGCAACATTGGGCGTCTTACGGCGATCGTTGGGCGACTCAGGGGCTGCTTTGGAGCGCCCAGAACTTTGGGTTGTGTGCACTTTACAGCATATCACAATATTCAACGGAGAGAACTCTGAGGGACCTGAGGACACTCCAACTCGTGCCTCGACGCACGGCGGCGGATCGGTCACCTTTTTCTGTTTGCTAACTTAGCCCTGCAACTGCATGCTTTGACGCTGGAGAATGCCGCAGATGAGGCCCTGCTCAAGCGTGCTGGTTATGGTGCTGGAGCGGAAGAAGTCGAGAGTCGCAGTGGCATGTTAGACCTTCAGTACCTCATGGACCAACACGCCGCGTCGGAGTCCGAGCTCCATGCCCGTGCGGCCGAGACGTGGCGCAAGTATTCTAGCAGCTGGCCAAGAATGGATGCAGCTATCAAGGGGGCTTGCTGCCTTGCCCCAACGGCAACATATGCTATTACACAGGGCATGGAGGTTTGAACGTGACGGCCACAGTGGAGCATCGTGGGAATATCATCAAGACAGTCTTAACCCCTGACCCAGATGCTGCAGTCGACATGCCAGAAATCGTGACGTTTATGGGTGCTGGCACCGACGATGCTCCTGCAATGTTGATGGACGTACCAGCGGAATATCGCAGAACAGCGAACCCTGTGATGCTGAAGATGTTTTTCGTGGAGGACACTGACAATGTTACTGAGCAATGCCCTCATGATAGTGAGCGCGTGGAGTCCATGGGGAACAGCACCGCGTCGTACCAGGTTGAGAATAACACGTTCGCAGTTTCAGCGCAAAGCCCAAACACGTTCATGGGCATGGCCTTCGACTTCGACAGCGAGGCACCTGTTGGTCACACCCTGGCCTTCGAGATCCCTTCTGGGACGGAGATCGTCTGGGTGAGCCGTGAAGAGATGGTCGAGGTGCTCCAATCGCAGGAGATGCCGGCTTCCCTCGAGAGGCGCCTAGAGGCGCAGTTACGCAAAGCTTCGTTGGCCAAGGGGATGGATGGCGCGCTCACGCAGAAGGGAAGCAGGCGGCGCAGGCGGCGCAGGGCGAGGTGCACCGGTGGACAGATTGGGTCCATGGCAGGAGGTGCCGCCGCCGTGGGCGTCGCTTTTTTGCTCTGCGCGTTTACTTTCATAGGCTGCTTCACGGCGTCGCCGTTCTTAATGTTTGCTGGGGCAGCGATGGTGAAAAGCGGTGCTTGCCAGTGTTGGGCTAACGGAAATGTTGGGCAGACCGCCTGCGCGTTGCGGTGAGGGCGGCGAGGGTTGCGGGGGCGCCGTAGTGGTCTCCCCTTGCAGGTTACCCGCCGATGTATTGCAACCGCGCATGCACTTAGCGGTCAGGTCATCCTATTTTTTGTGATATCCGTTCTTGCGCCATTTTCTGCTGATGCGCCGTGTAGGCGCGGCTTCTTCCAGTCCAGTCCGGGTAGTGGTCTCCAACTGGTTGGCGCATTTTCTATCTGGCGATCGTGATACTGGAGAAAAAGGCGCCTCTGGCCCGAGGTGTCCCCAGGTAACCTCCAGAAATGACTCGCGCTCGTCGCGCCAGCACACGTGTCGGCAGGGCGTGCCAGGTTTTTCCCCCTGACGCGTCCTCGCCGCTCATGACCCTGAAGCTTGAAATTTCCGACAGGTACACGGATGGAGGCAAGGATGGGGGACGTGTCGTTTTCAGAACGATCATCTCGCTCCAGCGCCGTGCGCATTCGTTTCGAAACCTTTCAACAAGTTGCGAGGATAGAGGGTTTTCCGTTTTCAAGATGTGGTTCTCGCCTTAGCATCGTTCGCATGTGTTTATCAAGCAAAATGCCTGGACGTAGCGCGGTACCATTGAAAGCCGCCTTGCAGGATTACGCACGTCTCGGGTAAGTTGAAAGGGATGGTTGTGTGCGTTTGTGCGTGTGTGTGTGTGGGTGTGCGTGTGCGTGTGCGTGTGTGTGCCCTGTATCTTTCTCCCCATGCCGAAGTCAAGGATAGTCGCCTCATTCGGCATGTATAGGGAAGCGAACGTAGGCATTTTTGGAATGAGCAGGACAGGGAGGCGTACGGCCACCTTCACTTCTCTATTCATAAGAATCGCATACGTTTGACCCCTTGGGTGTACAATGGATTTGCCAGAACCTGCCGAGGTTCTTACTTTGCTGAAAGACATGTTGAAGCAGCTAGAGACGGAAGCCGAGACTGACGAGGACTGGTTTTCCTCGTTTTCCCGTGGGTGGCGCGCGGCGATACAGCAACTAAGGTGGTACGCATCACCAGGAGTATCACGTTGCCATTTTGTTGGCCGCATGGCTATGATGACGAACATGGCACAGGCGGTGATAAACATTTCGGTATGACAGAGTAACGCAGACGACGCTCGACCACCATGCCTTTCCGCCTTCGTCGATCAAGCGAGTTTGTTTGTCTCTCTCCTCTTTCCGACCCTCGCCCCCCTATGGCAGGGCGTCTTCTTGTGGAGCCGAGGCTCTTGTCCTTTTTGTATGCCGCTCCTGGTAGGTGAACTCCAGTATCGGCGATGGTCAATCAGCAGTCGAGAACTATCCTGATCGGCCATGATATCCTGTTTTACTTCCGCTTGGTCCCGCTTATTCCAGCTTGGTCCCAGGCTTCGTCGGGGCTAATCCAGCTTGTTGTCTCCGCTAATCGGGCTATATCGCCTTTGAGCGTTCTTGCGATGATCTTCCAGGAGTTGCCTCCTGAATCCGTTCGTGGCCGTCCCTTTAGCGACAGTCCCAGCCGCGGCATCTGCCCGGCCGCCCCCCCAGGAGATCTACGATCCGTGGGCTGTCGCCACCTGCCGCTGGCCGCCCTGGTTCACCGCGCCCGCGCCCGCGCCCTCGCAACTCCTCGGCAGGGGGGCCGCCGCAGCAGCATGCGGGAGGCCCCCGCGGTGACCGCGCCGAGCACCATCGTTTCTCAGCGTGTGCCGCTGCAGGCCCCCCGAGTGGGGTCCGAGTAGATACCGATGCCGCTAGCAGTCCTCTTGTCTTTTTGAGCCTCTTGGGAGGCCCTCGTCGCCGCGGCTGGATTCGCTTCGAGATTTTGGTCAGGACGCACCCCGGCAGTGGTCTGGGGAGTAGACAGCTTTCGGCATTGCACCCGGACGCTGCCGGTACGGCGGCGGCAGACGCGACAGCCTGGCACGAGCTCGAAGGTGAATCTTGCCGCCGTCTCATCGAGGACTTCTGAGCGCCGCGGCGCTTACCTTCCAGCCCCCTAGGGGCCGAGCCTAGTTCGACGTGGATAGCTGTCCCGATCCTTCCCTTGACGCTCTGTCTGCCCTGGGTGTGACGTTCACGATCTCCGAGCGTACTCACCAGTCGTTGAAAGTAAGTATTTCAATACTCCCAGATCCCAATCTACTTTCTAGCGCCTTCCTACTTCAAGAATCGATGTGTTTTTGCTATGTTTAAATGGGAGGGCCTGGACCCAACCTACTTCATCCGCCTTCCTACTTCATGTTTTTGCCAACTTCTCCCGACCGACGTGTTTCCATATCCACGCCCTCGCTGTCTGGATTCGGGGACGCGATCCCGTGGGTACGCGATCGCACGGACACGCTCTGCGCGGGGCATCCGCGAGAAGACACGTTTCGTATCCGTGGGCACGCGGCCCAGGGGCCCGGCCCATGAGGCCGTAATTTCTGGTCGTTGAAAGTAGGTGTTTTTGGATTCCCAGATACAAATCTACTTCAAGCGCCTTCCTACTTCAATCCTCTATACGCTTTTCGCTGTGTTCTGTTATTCTCTGGGAGGGCCTGAGCCCAGTCTACTTCATCCGCCTTCCTACATCATGCTTTGACCTACTTCTTCCAACCCACGTGTAGAGGACAAGTTTCGCGCCCAGGCGACGTGGCTGGCGCAGCGCAGCATTCTGGACCCGCACTCTGGGCTGAGCGGTGCCTCTCAGCCCAGAGCCCGGGCCTTGGGGAGGGTGATGTCGGGGTTTCCCCAGAATTCCTGGGCCCCGGGAAAAGGGGGGGAGGTTTCCCCGACATGCCCAGGTCTTCTTGGGAGAGACCCACGGCCTCTTGGGTCCTCCACAGTCGCCGGACGATTTGGCGAAGACGCCCAAGACGGCCTCTGAGTCGGCCGAGCAAGCGCCCAAGACGTCCAAAGAGGCCTCCAAGAGCACCCCCCAGGAGTGCATTCAGCGCACGCTCGCGCTCGCGCGCGCGCGTCTTGGCAAGCCGTGTCCGTTGGCCTGCCTGGGGTCGCCCACGAGGGCGGCCGGCGTGTAAGATGGCGTGTTGGTGCGAGACGAACGACAAGGAGAAGACCAAGTCCATCAAGGATCGGCCACGCGCAGATGGGGGTCAGGGGGAGGAGTAGGAAGAGTAGGAGGAGGAGGAGGAGGAGAAGGAGGAGAAGGAGGAGAAGGAGGAGAAGGAGGAGAAGGAGGGAGGAGGAGGAGAAGGAGGAAGGAGGAGGAGGAGGAGGAGGAGGAGGAGGAGGAGGGGTCGGCCTCGCTCAGAGGGGGGCAGGGAGAGGGGGGAAGGCTCCTTTGAAGCACCCCTGCTTCATAGAAGGCGCGGGCTTTGTCTGTAGATGTAGGGCCTGCGCGTTCCAAGAAGGTTCCTCCTTCTAAGAAGCCTTCCCCCCCTCCCCTACCCCCCTGTGCGCGCCGCCAGAGGACGCCAGGGGGCACGCTGACGATCGAAAAACAAACGCCACCACCCCACCTACAGCCAGCCCTCCATGTTTTGTCGAAGGTGGGGTGGTGCTGCGACCACTCGGACTCGGAGCATACACCGTCGGAGGTCGGCGCGGATGTCTCGGATCGGCGCTGGACGCCCCCTTGGGCGGCGCCTCCAGCACCGCCCATGCGCCAGGTAGGGAGGGCCAACACCAGTCCAAAAAATCCGCGCGGACCTCCGACAATGTGTTTGTACGCAGATGTTTCTTCTAATCATCGCCCTCCCTACCGAGCCACCAATCCAGGTCAGCTAGTCGCTTTGCCGTCCGCTCTTGTTCTTGCTTTCTCACCTTCTTCCGCTGTCGTGTTTGCGACGTCACGCGTGACATTCCCGGCTGGCCTGGCGGTCTTCGGTCGAACGTCGTGCAGCCATTCGCGCGGTGGTTTTGATGATAGACTCTGAACCGTCCGTCTGCAGGCTGGTATTGTATGGCTTGGTGGTGGTGGTTTCCCCCCAAATGTGGGCGAAACGCATACCCTATTATATGTATATATATATATAATAAATATTCGCTACAGTACAGCGTTAATTTGTTTAGGAATTGTTGACGCTTCGCGTATCCCCACCAGCCCATCCAGAAACGATGCTCAGGGGAGTTGAGGTGATCAGGGAAGTCGGGGAGCATGCAGAATAACAAAGGGCGGGGGAAGCTGTCACAGACCCCGAGAGGGGGAGGATGGAAGAGGAGTCGTCGTCGTCGTCGTCGTCGTCGGAGGAGGAGGAGGAGGAGGAGGGGGAAGAGGAGGAGGAGGAGGAGGAGGAGGAGGACGGAGAAGGAGGAAGAATCGGAGGAGGAGGAGGAGGAGGGGAAGGAGCTTCTTGGGGGTCTTTTGAGGGCCTCTTGGAGGGCTTTTTGGGCGCCTTGGGGCATCTTGGGCGCCTCTTGGGACCCTCTTGAGGCGCTCTGGGGAGCCTTCGGGGCGCTTTTGGGGCCATCTTGGAGGGAGTCGATCAAACAAGAGGGGGGGTTTAATTAGCGCCCCCCTCGGAAGCCCCTAAAATCGCCTCTTGGACCCCTCTTGGAACGCTCTTGGAGTGCTCTTGGGCGCTCTTGGGGCCGTCTTGGGGCTCTTTTGGGGCTCTCTTGGGGCCCTCTTGGGCCATCTTGGAGCCATCTCCAGGCCTCGGATAGCCATCGGAAGCGAAAAGGCGAGAAAGCAAAAATCATTGATTTTCCTTAGGTTTTGGGACGATTTTGGCCTCTTCGGGGCCTCCTTGGGGAGCTGTTTGGCCACTTGGAGTTATCTTGGGGCCGTCTTTGGGCTTCTTGGAACCATCTTAGGAGCCATCGTGAGCGATCTTGCGCTATCTTGAGCCATCTTGGAGCTCATCTTGGGTTCTCTGAGGCGCTCTTGGAGCCGTCTTGGGCCATCTTGGACGCTCTAACTACCCGCGGCCCCCCCCGTCCAGGTCCAGGGGAGGGGGTAGGGGGAGGGGTAAACCCCTCCCCAAGGGGGAAGAGGGAGGGGTGGAAGAGGATCTGCTCTAGACCACCTACGCCCAGAGGGCTGGTGGGATTATTGGCTGTAGCGCGCACTGTATGTCGGGCGGGCGCGGTAGAGGGCGGGCGTTGTAGAGGGCCTTGGATCCCTGCATCGCACGGCGCCTCCCTCTGGGATTCCTCGAGAGAGCCTCTGGTGGGGCTTGAAATGCCCTACTGACTAAGGGAGATATTATCCGGGGTGCTTCCGAACAAAAAATCTTTTCCCTCCAGGGCACATCGGATCGTGCTGGTGGTATCCCGGCGGAGGGATCGTTCGGGGTTGCTTGTGCGTGAGTCCTACGCCCTCCAGAAGGCCGACGACGACGACGACGACGGGTGGACTGGAGAAAGGGTTTGGGGACCCTGTTCGTGGTGGACTCCAGCAGGGGTCCGGGGACCCTGTTCGTTGATCATATTCTGGGCCCTCTTCAGCCCTTTCCGGGGCTCTCTCGTGCCTCCCGTAGCTCTCATGAGCCGTTTTTGAAAAGCTTTCGGAGCCGTCTTGGGGTCCTTCTCGTTGCTGAAACCATGAAAATCATTTTCGGAAAAGATTTGTTTTCTTTGGTCTCGGGTCCCAAGGCTTCAGGCACCTTGTGGGGGCCAATATCAAAGAACAACTTTTCTGAGTGTGAATAATTCGTATTGCCTGTGATCGGGCCTTCTTGGAGCCGTGTTTGGGCCCTCATGGGGCCTCTTGGGGCCCTCTTGGAGCCCTCTTGGGGCCTCTTGGGGCCCTCTTGGGGGCTTCTTGAGGCACTCTTGGGGCCGTCTTGTGGCCCTTCTCGTTGCAGACGCCGTAAGAACAAGTTTCGGAAAGTGTTTGTTCTTTGGTTTCGGGCCCAATGACTTCACAGAAAAGCATTCTGGAGTGTAAGTGATTCGTTTCGCCTGTGATCGGGCCGTCTTGGGGCCCCTTAGAGGGCTCTCGGGGCCCTCTTGGGGCCTCTTGGAGCCCTTTTGGATGCTTCTTGAGGCACTCTTGGGGCCGTCTGGAGGCCTTCCTCGTTGCAGAAACTGTAGAAAACCACTGTCGGAAAGTGGTTGTTCTCTGGTTCCGGGCCCCAAGACTTCAGGCACCTTGTGGGGGCCAATATCAAAGAAAAATGCTTCGGAGTGTGAATAATTCGAATTGCCTGTGATCGGGCCTTCTTGGAGCCGTGTTGGGGCCCTCTTGGAGCCTTCTTGGGGCCCTCTTGGAGCCCTCTTGGGGCCTCTTGGGGCCTTCTTGGAGGCTTCTTGAGGCACTCTTGGGGCCCCGTTGTAGCCCTTCTTCTTCTTGCAGAAGCCGTGAAAACCACTTTTGGACAATGTTGTTTTTCTTTGGTTCCCGGCCCCAAGACTGCAGGCACCCTGTGGGGCCAAATCAAAGAAAAAAACATCGGAGTGCGAGTAATTCGTGTTGCCTGTAATCAAGCCCTCTTGGAGCCGTCTTGGGGCCCTCTTGGGGGATCCCGGGGCCCTCTTGGAGCCCTCTCGTGGCCTCTTGGGGCCCTCTTTGGAGGCGTCGTGAGGCACTCTTGGAGCCGTCTTGTGGCCCTTCTCGCTGCAGAAACCGAAAAAACAATTTATGAACATGGTTTTTCTCTGGTTTCGGGGCCCAAGACTTCAGACACCTTGTGGGGACCAAGACCAAAGAACAACTGTTTTCGGAGTGTGAGTAATCAGTTTTGCATGTGATCGGGCTCTCTTGGGGCCTCTTTGGCCCTCTTGGAGCCCTCTTGGGGCCTCTTGGAGCCATCTTGGAGGTTTCTGGAAACACTCTTGGAGCCGTCTTGTGGCCCTTCTCGATGTAGGAACCGTTGCAGGCACCCCGTGGGGGGCCAAAACCAGAAACACAAACAAAAACAAAAAACATTCGGAGCGTTGGTGGAGAATGATGGAGACGGTGCGCAACGGTACACCCTCGGAGGGCGGTGTCTCCTCCTCCATGAGCGGTGCTGCAAGACACCCTCCAAGGATGCACCGGGATGCTGCGATACACACTCCAAGAATACACCCTGATGCTGTGTTGGACCGTGATGCTGCAATACACGCTCCAAGGATGAACCCTGCTGCTGCGAGACACCCTCCAAGGATGCACCCTGATGCTGCGTTGGACCTTGATGCTGCAAGACGCACTCCAAGATTGCACCCTGCTGCGTCCTTGTGGGCTCAAGGCGCACCGCCTCCTGCGAGAATCGGCCGTGGGCGGCCGCTGTAGAGGGCCTCCTCGCTTGCAATAGATGTGGACGGTGGGCGGGAGCTGTAGAGGGCCTCCTCGCTAGCAGTGGATGTGGGTTCTGCGCAGGCCTTTTTCCCGGATTGCACGGAGCTGGCCCAGAAACCTCACGTCACTTTGGGCGCGGTGAATCAGTTCAACGCCCTGGGTAGGCATTGTGTTTGCGGGTCGAGCAGCTGTCAGGGCATTATCCAAGTGGCTTACGCCATTCCGCCAACCCCAGAAGTAGTGAGAGCTTGCGACGATCGCGCATGTTATCTAGTGGCGTTCGTCCGAACTGGCCGCCGTGCTTGGGGGCATCTGGGAGTATTTTTGTTGGAGGCCTCTTGGGGACCTCTCGGAGGCTTCGTGGCGGCGTCTCGGAGGCATTCTGGGGGCGCTCCGGGGGCTTCGGGGGGTCATGGGACCGCGCCGAGGGGGCAAACGCGAAATTCAAGTTCGCATTGCCTCTCTTGGGGCTCTTTCGAGGCTCTCTTGGGCCGTCTCGGGGGTCCCGGGGGGGCGCTCGCCCCCCCCCCCCCCCTCCCCTTCTCCCGAAACGGCAGTTTGGACTTCGGGGAGGAGGGGGAGGGGCGGCCAAATGTTTCGCGCGCCTCCTGGATCCCCAGCGAGCGGGGGTCGGCGGATGCGTTGGCCGCGAGATCGAGAGTTTCTTGCAGCGCGGGGGGCCTCCGCTGCACGTTGTGGAGGAAGCGCGTCGTCGTGTCGCGAGCGCGCAAAAGCGGCGGTCGCAGCCCGCGACGAGCGCGGCGCGGGAAATGATTCGGGCGCGCGGCTCGCGAAGGAAATTTCTCGCGGCGGCGCGCGCGTCGAGCTTCGGGTTCGCGACGGGCCGCGGCCATCTCCGGCGGGTTCTTCCGGTGGGATATCCCCGTGCGCGAGATCAGCCGCCGGC